CTTGCCGCTGCGCGCGTGAGCCCTCGCGCTCGGTGCGCGCTCGCGCAGCTGCAGCACTGCAGGACTGCAGGACTACAGGACTGCAGGCAGTTAGCCTGTTTCCTGGGACAGCAGCTTGCTTTTGCAGTCGGAAAAAGGTCCGCGGAAAAAAAAAGGCTCTAAAAAGCATTCCTGCTTTCTGTTTTCTAAGAATGAGCCCGAACAATGAACCAAATAAACGGAAACAAATGGTAAGAAAGAATGATGCACGCATTCGTTTTGTCAAATTTTCTACTGTGGGCTCTTTTCGGCTCGCTCCAATTCGTGCGGTTTCCCTTGTTCGTTTCTTGTCTTGGTTTAGAATTGAAAGCATGAACGGACGCATGGGTTGTTGTTTACTTTTTATAAACACGCACGAACAAGACCGCACATCCTGGAACCTGGAGCCCTTAATCACATTGTGGTTCCAGATTTCGTTCTCAAGAAGCCTAGATTTAAGTGAGTTAAACACGCGCTCCTTTCTCTCGCTTGCTTCAACTCAATTAAATTACGTCTTTTGGTTCTCTTCATTTCGTTCGTATGTGCTGTGATTTGATGAGAACGAAGCATTCCATTATCTTTGTTCAATTAAATCACATCACATACTCTCTTCACACCTTTCATTCAGTTGCTGTGGTCATTATACGAGAGCCACGATGGTATGGTTACACAAAGGGAGATCCGGTGTAACCGCCAGTCAAGGGTCATTCCGTTGTGTTCATTCCGTTCCTGTTTCGTTTCAATTAATTAAAATAATCACGCGTTCGTTTCACTTCCTTGTTTTGTTTCAATTAAATTATAAACGAAACACTCACTTCATAGTATATTATGTAAAGGAGTGGAATGAGTGAAGACTGAACGAATGAAGCACGAAAACGACCCAATTCTAAACAAACAAGGACAAGTGAAAATAATGATCGCGTGCTTTGTTTAGTTTAAATTGGGTTATTTTCCCCATGTGTTCGTTCTTTTCTTCTTTCACTTCGCTCATTTCTCGCTTTCCTGTCACTGCGTTCAGTTCATTCAAAATGAGCGAGGCAAAAGGGAAAAGAATACAACAAATGACACAATTAATTTCAACTAATCTTGGTACACTTCTCGATTTGTGCATGTCATCCTTGAGCACGGGCCATGCTAATCTTCCCTGTCTCGCTCCAATTTCATCCTGCCTTTACCTGTACAGCACAGAATAGCAAGGCTGTCGCTTCACGCTCAATACATGCGCACTCTGCTACTCTGATCTGCTTCTGCGGATATCCCCGGAATACTTCATACACTGTACTCATTCAGAGACGGAACTCGAACCCATATCGCAGCCGACATCGAAGCCGACAATCAAGCATCATGATGCGGGGCAGACAGGCAAGCATCATGAGCATCATCGGGGGCTCGTTTCCAAATCCAGCTCCAGCTGGGGCCTGGACCCCTTGTTGCATCCTTCGGTTGATAAGAAACTCAGCTAGCCCCGGAGGCTAGCTCTCGTGACAATGGTTCGAAAGGCAGCTCGAACGACACCTGAGGCCGAACTCTTTCTTTGTCTGGGACTGCCACAAACAGACTGATTTAAGCATGCATGACATCAAAAGCTGCCAGCGGAGTATCTACATGATTCGACATGCACAACGTCGCGGCAGACTTGCTGAAGGCCCCTAACCCCGGCTCTCGACTCCTCATCGCTCACTTCCAGAATACGCAGGTTCGATAAAACCTGCCATCCGCACGACCATTTTGCTTGTTGGACACGCGGGATCGGACTGCGGGCTCTACACTGGTCACTACCCAATCACAAACCGCCTGCAGCCAAAGCTGTCCAAGCCTGTGGGCCTGTAGAAGAGCGCAGCATCGAAGCCTGCAAAACCTGCAAATGCCGAACCCATGCGGCCTTGGCAAAGTAGCCTTCGCTGTCCCCTGCTGCTGCACAGCTCAGGGCTCTGTCGGGCATATCCTGCCACCCGGCACACGAACATTCGATGCTCAACGATACTCTGATTCCCCATGCACAAGATATCACACTTCAGCACCCGAGATAAGGTTTGCAACTTCACAGGTCGCCTGCTGTGCTGTGACTTGGGCATGCAGACCTCTATAGGCTGCAAGTATGCTGCCAATTCCACACCCAAAGCGTCCCCCAAATTGCAGAACGTGCCGGCCCTGCTGCCCGATACCATGGAGCCACGGACCCGGTGCTTCCCAGGCTGCGTGCGACTGAGCAGGTCAGGGTTGGACTCTTCAAATTCTCTCCGTCTGTGTCTCAATCCTATGCATCGCTCTTCGATTACTAAGTGCCGGAATTGATCCCAATTTCCTGTAAGATCCTGAACAGCTCACACGCTAAGGATGCGACTGCTGCGGGGTGTGTCAGGCGTGTTGAGGCCTGCGCAGGAGAAGGCTTACTCCGTCCGCTGCAGGTGTGGCTGCAGCCTTGCAAACGACGCTGTGAACCTAAGACATCCCGAAAACATCCATTAGCATAAGTAGCAATAGCCGCAATAGCCTTTCAAGTTTCATCAATGCACCTGAAGCACGTTGGTCCGAGCTGCCGGGTGAGTCGGGCTGGCAGAAGCGGTCAAACAGCATCTAGGCAAAGGATTCTGTGCCACTGCCATATCGCAAACAAGCAATGACACAACAACGTGCATCTGTGTCTTCGGATTCGGGATGATGTCCTGACCATGGTTGGGGGGTTAAGATCGGGGTCTGTGTCAACGTCACGAAAGAAGCTGAAAGCGGAGAATTTGAAATGATTAGCTGCTTTGCCGCAAGCTCTTCGGAACATGTGCCAGCAAAACGCCGCCAGCCGCAGCTGAGCCCGTCATGGAACTCGCCAGACTGTCGAACCTGCGCACGATGGATTGGGGGTTGTAGGGCTGCCATGCTAGATCCCCAGGTGCGGCCGAGGCATGGATTCCGCATCGTGCAGACAGTCCCCGCGGCACAGAGAGAAGGAGAGAGACCAATGTGCGCACACGTAGTAGAGATATAGGATGAAACTCTGAATAATCGTAGCTTGCATGCAGCATAAGCAGAGTAAATGTGGGGATTTGTCACCGGTGATACTAAGCATGGGGGAAGCTTGAGAAAACAAAACTGCACTTGTCACTTGCCTGCCTTCCTGCCCTTTTTTCGCGTGTGTCTAGAGACAACGACAGAAGAAATGTGCTGGAAATCGGAACAAGTCAACTACATCAGTCCACGGATGTCATGTCAATGAAAGACTTCTAGACCTATATAGCAGGGCTTGATTGCTATTGTCTATTGTCTATACCGAGGAGAGGGCTTGTGCTTCAGGATGTGGAAGGGTTGCATTCAATTTCAGTTAAACCCAGCCCCAAAGTGCCTCTTACACGCCATCCCGATGGTCGGACGCCGATCTGCATCGCGAACGAGCAAGTACCTTCATTGCCAAGTTGATGCCAAAGCTTGCTTTCGCATCTTTTTGGGAGCTATATGAATGCACAAAGCATGTCTTCTGCGCTCAGTGCAAGTGCAGATGGCGGAGTGATACTGCTGTGGACATCCCTTCTTCGTGGGCCACATCGAGGGACACGCGTGTCAAATTACCCTAGCAATGCCAAGAACCCGGAACAGCAAAAAAGATTCAGACGAAGTTCACCTTTCACAAAAAAGAATCCGGAAACTTGGAACAGGCTGCGTGCATGTCTCAAGTGCTCGCGAACACCGGGGCGTTGATGACTTCCTCTTAAGGTTTTCCTCGCCGTTTAGATCTCACGTAGGGGTTTGGAGCACTGGGCCGCTTTTGCATCGAAGCTCCGTTCGTCGCTTCATGGCTTCAAGGCCCTGAAAGACTAAAACCGTAAAGACCATAGTAGCTATACTACTATACCATGTTATGCACAGCCTGTTCTGTGGTTTCAAGAGCAATGACAGCAAGCGGCATTGTTGATGTGCAAAGGCCGCTGCGTCATGGTCGGGCAAATGAAGCTCCACATTCTCAGGCTCTAGAAACCACAAGGGGGAAGGGGGTCACAAGACCAGCCTGAGCTCCTGAGCTTCAACCTTTCGGACGAAAACAAGAAATGAACCTGTGCCCAACGTCAGCAGGAGCAGCAGCCACTGCCCTGGTGCCGTGATGCGCGGGGCACCGCACGTATTCCAGCAGGGGTCCATTGTTCTCCAACCGTCGCTCGTTTGCCTGGCAGATCTGAACGACACACGGGTTCCTTCGAATCCACGCTCCTCAGTTTTCCAATCGTAGGCACCTCAATACGAACTTGCTGTCAAACCTCCACATGTGTAAGGGGTCTTGCTGCCTCGTTGACAACATCTTGGCCGGACTTGCCAGTAGCACATGCCTAGGATGTAGGGCAACCGCGGGGGTGCGGGCAGCCCATTGCGAAGGTCAACTTTTCGGGGATCAAGGGAAGCCACTCAAGAGCCCAGAAGACATCTGGAGAAGGGCTTTCCATCAAGAAGACACAGCTTGCGCATGCACTATTTTGACAGGATCTACTTCTGTGCTTTCAAGCCGGGGCACCCAATGCGTTGCGAAGTCATAATCCTGCACACTCTCCATCATCAGGCGACTCAACACAGAAGCCACGCCCCTATCCTGTCTATGTATCTCGCTGCATCCTTCACTCCTGCAGTACAGTCGAACTTGTCAGGTTCCAGTGTCGACCTTCTTCCTCACGAATCCGCGTCTCTCGCGGCCTCGAACAGGAAGCGACCGGTCAGCAGCTCGAAGAAGAGACAGCCCAGGGACCAGATGTCGGCAGCCTGGATTCATGCATCTGTGAAGCACAAAGTATTGCATTTCACTTGCCCTGGGGCACCAGGATTCAACTTCAATACCCCGTAGCAAAACGAGTCGCCAATTTTCACGCCTTGTTGGTGCCAACGCGTTTGCGCCTGTCGTGCGCCTTGGAGTCCCGGCGACTCACCTGGCGGTCGCTGAACGACTGCACGAAGGGACCCTTAGAGTGGATTTTACAAGCTACACGCCAGTCGGCTTTTGTCATCTCGGGCAGAAACAGACATCTGCCGCATTGCAGTTCGAAGCCCTACTTCTTCCTGTTTGTCTGTGGCAGTGCTATGCTCCTTTGTGCACAAAAGCCAGAACAATACAGCTTGGTCGCGAAGTCGAGCTCCAGCATCTCGGGGCCCTCCGCACGTGCTTACAAACTGTCGAGACTTTGGCTAAGGCTAGATGGAACCGTCCAGCCGGTCACAGGTCCAACTCCGCCTGCACTCGCCACATCCGACCCGGAAATCCTGAGAACATCGAACAGCCCAAAATCCAAAACCTCCAAGGCTCCAGCCCGCGGCCTTGATGATCTCTGTCCCCCGATTGCGCAGGTCCAACTCGAATGGATTCTGGCGACTGGTTTTCAGGGGTTCAGGTCTTGCAGGCAGCCGGTCTTGAAGATCGTCGCCGAAGCCGCTGCAACAGCAACACACATCCACAAACGAAGCCTTGGCAAAAGCAGTTCGCCCATTCTAGCCTCCATCATGCGCGACTCGCCGAAGTCTACCACTGCTATTCGCGGGACCTGCTGGACGGAGACGTCATGGCGTCATGATCAACCGCCCATATATAAGCCGCTCGACACTTTCGACACCAAACCTACTTGGGGCAACTGACACGCCCAAGATCGAAGCATGGATACAAATGAGTGAGAGACTAACATGCACTCCGGCAGGCTCGAGCACTCGGTGATGGTCTGCTGATTGGCGTCATGCAACAACGCGTAGTGATCCAGTTCTTTGCCAGGGACTGCAACAACAACAACAACGACGACAGGTACAGCAACAGTAACAAAGCATATGCCCATCAGCCACAGCAGTAACAGCAACAGCCATAGCAACAGCGACGACAACGATGACTGCCACATACCACTACTACTACTACTACTA